AAACCAAACCAACCCACACGAGCTATGGTTCCGAGACAACGATTGTCGAACACATGAAGACGTCTCAGTTCCGCTGATCGAATAGGCCTCACAGCCAAACTACAGTCAGGACTAATACAACTTCCAAAATACGTTTAATGCATATGTCAAATACATTTCCATAAGTGAAAGGGCTAAACCAAGAGGTGTAACTTTCCCGTGTTCGGGCTTGGAAAGCACGAAACCGGAAGGCCGACTAGTCGTACGACTTAATTGTGTTGTTTTTGTTCTGCCTCACGCATGCTGAGCTCGACGTAGCACAGTGGTTCGGGTGCGAAATTACTGACCTGAAGGTCCGTCGTTCGAACCCGAACTCTGCATCTCGACTTCGCCCCGGTTTAAATTTGGGCAGCCTGGTAGGATCTCTGTCCTCGTGCATCCTCCAGGTGGCACGGCATCGAAAGGGTGCTACAGCTGAACCATGTTGAATACTGCTGCATTGGGGTAATATTATTTATTTATTATTATTATTATTAATTTATGTTTTACTGCTGCATTTACCCAACGGATCCAGGTCAGGGCAAAGAGCGTAGCGGATTGTATTTCCACGACCGATCACCTCTGATTCTAACAGGCGGGAGGTTGGCTCTTAGCGTCTATTCAGAGAAACGCCTTTGCGTTCAGTCTACGTATGGAACGATATATACTACTGATGAAGTGCGCGATTATTGTCTGGTTAGGTATCCAAACTACACAACCGCTTTTCAGTGTTGGCTCAGTAGTGTTTGGTATTTAAAAAAACATCCAGCAAACGCCCAGGAATATTCACTTCTCAAAAGCTCTGTGCAGATGAGATATTTACTGTCATATCTAATAGCTTGTAACAGCTTAGTTCGTATTTGCTGACAAACAAATTAGCAACGAACAGCATTTTTCCCTTCACGTGCACCTGTTCATTTTTGAGGTCTGCAATAAATGATGTAATGTAATAAATACCCTTTCGGTGTCTAAGTGCCATGCCACCAGAAGAAAGCACAAGGACTGATACCGCCACGTTGCCCAAGCCTAGACAGATGGTAAGTCGAGAAGCAGCGGTCGGGTTTGAACCACGGACCTCCGAGTGAGTCAATCCCCACTGAGCCATCTCGACCCCTCAATCGATGCGTAACTTGGAGTTCGAAAAGCTGTTCCGTTCCAGCACGATTAGTCAACCTAGTCCACACGTGGACTCCTTCCCTCGAAGCGCTCATTCATGGGCCTGCCGGAATGCGAACTCCGCATCTCGGACGGGCGAGACGACCAGGTTAGCGCAGGCTGGGCACGCCGGAGAACGCGAACATGATCATGCTCAAGAGGTTTTCTTGATTGCGTTGAGGAAAATCGATGCTAAAAAGCCGAGAAGAAGTGTACAGCTGTGTCACCCTTACTGGGGATTATCACCTCGCGAAACTTAGGGGGTTCGAACCCACGACCTTTCGGCCAGTAGCTGAAAGCTTAAGTAACCAGCATCACGCGGCTGAACAGCAGTGTGAATAGCACTCATTTCGACAGGACACAACGCTACTCATCCTTCAATCACGGTCAAATGTGTTCACTGACTCCTCGAGTGACGACTTCTCAGATGGAAACTTAATTCATCTTGTGAAGTCGTTCAGCCGTAGCACCCTTTCGGTGCCTAGCTGCCACGCCATCCGAAGGTTGCACGAGGGCTGGGATATTGCCAGGTTACCCAAGCCTAGACAAAGGAAGTCGAGAGACGGAAGTCGGGTTCGAACCACGGACCTTCCGTCAGTAAATTTCCACTCTAACCACTTGGGCCATCTCACCCCTTCATTTTTGTACTATTCGCTTCCAACAAAGGACTTTGACGCCGTGTCCATAACACAGCGACATACCCATTGTCCTCGGTTTGGCGTGTTCACGGAAAAATTTCCTGCGGCCTGTAGACGCTGTTTTGTCCCGAGTTCCAAGCCCGCTCAAGACAACGGGGCGAGTTATCCTGTCTAGGTGAGAGCTAATCACACGCCAATCGGCCGCTCCTGACCGAACCGCTCAAACCACTAGCCGGAAGGTTGCGAGTTTGAAATTCCCTACTCGAGTTTCGTGCTTCCAGGCTTAGACTGGCGTCATTCCACTGGAAAAATGAACTCTGCTTCTCCTCAGATAGCCCAAGTCACTGTAACGGACAGGCACAACAGATGGGACTTACGAAGACGCAGCGCGTGACACCACAACAAACTGGCGACGGCTGAAGCGGTGGAAAGGGCGCGGCCATACCAAGGTTTCAGGGGTGTGTTCATCGGAGCGGAAATCGAGTCCAGTGAGGCTCTGGACAATTCCGGTTCCCACGGTTCAATCTCGTTGGTCGCAAGCAACATACACCCGAAGCGATAGAAACGGATATCTGGAAGAACATTGCTCTGCGGCCTAGTACGTTTGTCGGTTGAATCCGAGCTCAGGAGACGGCCATCCAAGTAGGACTGCCACATGATCTACAAATAGCGGGGAACCAATCAGAAAGCAAGTCAGTTGGTGGAGACACAAAAAATGGAACACGGGAAGAGATCCGTCAAACCTACACCCAGATTCGATTCAATCGCATGCACTGCGATGGAGGGATCCACAGGAATAGGCAGGCCGATTTCATCAGAACGCAGATTTTCCGAATTGCTGAGCGTCAACAGCTTCGGAGAGAGTACAACATCACTGAGCTTGCGCAACCTCAAACAGATGCGGTGCGAGGCCTGGGGGTGGTTCGGATCCACCTGATCGTCTGGGTTTTCCACACATCGGAAGAATTCGTTACCCAGCGAGGAGGATGAGGCCAAAGCATCGTTGTACGAAGTCATTTGTGGCTGTATTCGACTGGTCTTTTGTGGACTGAGTTCCGTCAGGGTGTTCCAAGGGGTCTGGAGAACGATGGACGATGTCTTGGCGGGGGATGTTGGACGATTACGCCACCAACTGGTAACGTTCAGACGTACGCGATATTGACGATTCACAAAACGAATGGGCTGAGGTGAAAGAAGGAGAAATGGGTAGCCAGCAGTGCAGATAGGCCTCGAGACATAAGGGAACAAAAACAGGAAATTCCTCGACAAATTCGTCAGCAACCTTATGAGTAGTGTATTACGAACACACATGTATCGCGATATCTCGAATATCGTAGCGACTGGTGCAGCACATTCAGTGGTCTGGAAACATCACAAACGAGAGATTCAACTGTGTTCCAGGTGAGTCTCTCGAAAAACCAAATTAGTTTGCTAATGGGCGTGTTTCGCTAGTGTATTTATGCTGGCTCGGTTGACAATACTTTAGGAATTCCGACTACTCATGAGTAGTAAGGTAGTAAACCCTAATTTCGAAAACCGGCGGATCAATAGCAGTACATAATCGTGGATAAAACGACAGGGTGAACACGAATCAACCTTTAGTGGCTGCAGGGCGGATAGGATCTTGCGTGGCTTGAAGCCAAACCAAAGACATGAGTTCGGTTCTCATTGTCCTTGTCAATACTTGGATTGGCACAACTAGAAATGTCCAGCTGTTACGTATGCAACAAAGTTATCATTTTATACCATCTGGGGACAATCAGCAACGGTTTAATGATGCTGTCAAGCTTCGAAAGCAATGAGGCTAGTGGTAAGTGGAAAAACCTACTTGATAGGCGTTTCCTTTCCTTCTTTGCTCGAGAACTACACACAACGTTTTACTGCTCTCATACACGTAAACTAACTCAGCAGGTTAATTATCGCTCCCGTTTGTCGCCTGTTACACGGCCAAGCGACTGAATGGGCTGAGTGGTCGGTTGGGCAATCAAATTCTGACACTCGGCTAGTTGGCAAGCGCAACGAACACGTAATTCGACCGCTTACTACTTACTATACTGTGAGTAGTCTACCATGTACTTTCGTTAACTTGGAACTGGTATTTTGACCTTAGAGGCGCTGTTCTGTGGACCTTAGGCCATAGGAGAAACAAAGATTACAGGGCATTCTGGTTGGTTGTGTGCAGGACATTTCTTTCCACCTGACCTGGTTCGGCCTCAAAGTCGACTTTTCCAGTTCCTCCCCACAGATTTATGATGACTGAGGGTAGACGATCAACATCAACCTTGTGAGAATCATTGACTGGGGCTCGTCAGATGTAGCGGATCGCAACTTCCAGACATCTCCTTCCGTCTCTAACGTTACAAACTACTAACCTGCGTCGAGTTTACCTCCATTTATCAACTCAGATATTACTCCCCCAATTCGCTAACCGTTAGCATCCTTTCCTAAACAATTCCTTCTAGGAGAACTGTGCCCAGGGGTTCCGGGGCCGTGCGATTACGCCCCACGTCCGATCCCATAATGTGCTGCCGGAGAAAGGTCAAAAAGGGACACATGAAGTTCACGTCCACCCCATGGCCAAGGCACCCCCCGTACACAAGCCACAGATGGCCATCTATGATCAACCGAGACAAAGGAACAACTGCTCGAGAACCGGTGTGGGCGTGCAGGAGGCACACTGGTTGGTTGAAAGCAGATCGACTATCAAATACGGTCACAAGGGAATCATATATACATAAATATAGAAAGTTGTAATTGTGTTAAGACACAGTTCCTTCTGGTCGCCTTCTTGTCTTCTGACTATAACCCAGTAGCGTCAGGGAAGGTGAAGAGATACATCAAAGTCCATCTACCTCTTCGATAGGATGGTCTGAAAGCTGGGGGTTTATGCACACCTCTGCGTTCCCAGACGCTTCGGTGTGCTCGTTGTACGTTAACTTGTGATGTTCCAGGAGTGGTCAGTGTGGAAGAGTTTCATCGCAATGATGAGATCTTCGACGATAAGGTGATGAATCATTCGCATCATCATTCGCTGCCAAGTGGAACTTAGTTACACTGACGACAAAAGGTATCCAGTGTTTTGCGCAGTCTCATGAGCCTGAATGGAAACAGGAAGAACTTACTCTAGGCACCAGACTGACGGGTAGACGGGCTTGCAAAGTACCGTAGAAAAAGGCATCCGAACGGAGTTCTCCCGGAGCTAGAGGTGGTCCATCAGACTCATCAGGGTCATCGTCTGAATCATCTTCGAAAGGTTCATCATGAAACACGAGCAAAGGTGAGTAAAGATATAAGGGGGAGTGTTTTGAGGACAGGAAAGTCAGATTAATTCCAAAAGACACCCGCCGAGCTGGTATGGATAGGAACGAGGGTGAATTGGGTCCCGAACAGGATGTCGCTGAACTGGGCTGAGGGTCTTTGCATGGTACATCCACGGCATACTCAAAGCGCAGCTCAAAGAATAGCTTTTTAGAGGTACGAAAGTTTCGATCCCGCTCCACAGAGTCTATGAAAGTCGCGACGGAAAGTTTTCTCCAAAACGACTCGGAATGAAACGAGAGCCAAATGAGGCCACAGTCGGTTGCACAGAACGGGAACGGTTCCGCACCATCACTGGAATCCGAGCTGGTGTGGATCCTCGAAGCGATTTGCTTCATTTCGTTGTTCAGCACGGTTATGGGTAACTGTGGAACAAAAGAAAAAACAACAAATCAAAGGTATGCAAGCGGTAGGGTCTAACGATCCGATGAATTGTGCGACAGTGAGTGAGACGTTGAACGACTCAAATCAACAGTTTTCGACAGCTTGACACATACAGGCAAGTTTGATCAGAAACTTGGAAGCACTGTTTCTTTTTGGCAATTTCATCAGCTTAGGAAGAATGAAAACTGTGTTGAATTGTTCCAACACTGCTACTACAGGCAACGGTGATACTAGTGATGAGGAGGCACGCGAGTAGTATGTGCTGTTCGTGGAATTTCGCTTTGCGTCTTTTGAAAAGGAGAGATCTGTTGCGGAATTCTTGTGGTCACTCCGTAACATTTGCTTGGATTTGAGCGGTGAATGATTGGAGTCAATGAATATCCAGGAAAATTCAGGAAGATGCGTTCAGGGGAAGACGGATGTCCAGTTTTTGTAAATAAGATATAAATTAGGGATTTGCTTCCCTGTCCAATGGTCTGCAACCGGTCTGTAACCTTGAACTTATGCGGTAGTCGTGCGACCGCAGTTGACAACAATAATTTTAATAATAGTACTAATACTAATATACCTTCAGCTGTAATACTCATTCGGTGCCTAGCGGTGATACCACCTAAGGGAAGCACGAGGGCTGAGGTAGAGGGAGTCGAGATGCGGGTTTGGGTTCGAACCAGGGACCTTCCGGCAAATAAGTTTGCACGTTAAAAATCGCTCAGTTGTGCCTAGCTGCCACGCCACCCGGAAGAATCACGATGGTGGCTGAGATACTGCCAGTTCTCACAAGTCTAGACAGGAGCGGTCGAGATGTCGGGTTCGAACCACGAACTTTCCGGTCAGTAAGTTCGCACCTTAACCACAGAGCCACCACGAGCTGCTATCTCTCGATAATTTGAGAAAAAAATCGTTCAGCTGTAGCCCAGTTTCGTTGCCTAGCTTCCATGCCATCCGAAGTTTGCACGAGGGCTGAGCTACTGCCAGGTTACCCAAGACCAGACAGGGTGGAAGTCGAGAGGCAGAGGTCGGGTTCGAACCACGGACCTTCCGGTCAGTAGATTCTCGCCATCTGGCGCCCTAACCTAGGCGGTTAGGTCCCATCTCACAGTTTATACTTTTTCTCTCTCAAATTGTTTACCTTTTTCTGAATCGACTCGACACCAACACATTGCACAACATCAGGGGTAGACAACTGGAGTTTTTTCAGCAGCACATTGGTATCCTCGGTGGCTCTGACTGCCGCACGAAATACGTTCATCTGACGTGCCAATTCGTTTGTGGAGCCGGGTTGATCGGACGAGGGAAGGTTAATGTGGGCCTCATCACGAACTAAGATTTGCAACGGCATCCAACGTGACTCGAACGGGTAAAGGGTCACTTCAACCTGCCACGGGGCATGGGGAGGAAAAAATACGTGACGTCACTGGGTTGATGAGAACACAAGTTACTAAAAATCGATACGAGAGTAGCATGCATGCAGCGTAGATCAGTTATCAAGAGAACGACTAAGGACTGAAAAGTACATGTACTTACAGTCGGCCTTCATCATTCACGACCTGCTCGAGAAACGCCCTCAGCCAACCTAGGCCCTGCTCCAGTTCCAATGTCTTATGCCAATGCTAACTTCATCGATAATTCAACCTCTCCGTCAACTTCTCCCTTCCACATCATCATCATCGACAGCATAACACCAGCGTTCAAAACGGATGCTTCGATGCCATATTGCTGCATCGCTACTGGAGATTCGCGGACTTTGTTCCAATCAATCAAGGCTGGGAACAGCGAACACCAATCAAACGATGCACGGGGAAGCGGTCCCGTTAAAACACCCATTCGACTCGGACGTATTTTATGTTGGACTGAACAATCCGATAGGAATAGCTGAATTTTCCAGAATATCTGACCATCTCAGACAATCCAAGGAGCCATGCGCGAATACACTACCTAGAGTGACCTTCAAAGGTGGGGACCCAGAACCAAGTCACCTCACCCATGTGTCATGTGATATAAACTGAGTGCATCCACACATCGATTACCTGAGCGAGTTGCACTTCAGGCCATGAGGTCAAATTGGAAACGACAGGGTATAGACGACCGTTCAAGAGTGAACGAAGGAAGATGCTGACGACCAAGCTAGCCCTCACTGGTCCACCACAATGAGGATCCGAGCAAAATGAGTGTCGCCAACAGCGCGGTGCTCACCATTACCGTAAGACCAAAAGTTATTTGAAAGCCTTATTGCAAAAAAACAGGAGTGGATGTGCGAACGACTTAGTGCTAGCTTACCACGATGATTCCAAAGTGCCTCCAGAGTACCTCCAGACAATGGAGATAAGAAAAATCATATTGTGTCGCACCCTTTCGGTGCCTAACTGCCATGCCGCCCGAAGGAAGCATGAGGGCTGGGAACCCAGCTGAACTTCCCTTATGAGTAGTGTATCACCTCTATAAGTGTGTCGCGCCATCTTGAATATCGTACCAACTGAAATATGAGGCGGTCTGGTGCGGCACATTTTAACCGGGTTCCAGCTATTCACAAGTCGTACACTAGTGGGTCATCACAGTATAATTGTCGATTGTTTCATGTTATTCATACTGTATAAAATGTTATTCCGTTTTGCACTTATATCCACTTTCTTGTTTCTACCTGAACGTAGACCCAATTTTGAATCTGTCATCGCTAGTCTAGTTGAAATCAATCACGTGGGTTTCGTCATCTTGTAGCCACTTTGTCTTTGGTCTTTGTAAAAATGGGCCGTTGTAACACCCTTTTGGTACCTAGCTGCCATGCCACCCGAAGAAAGTACGAGAGCTTGGATACTGCCAGGTTGTCCAAGCCTAGACAGGGGGGAAGTCGAGAGGCAGAGGTCGGGTTCGAACCATGGACCTTCCGGTCAGTAACGTCGCGCTCTAAACACATGGGCCATCTCGCCCCATGGAGATAGGAACTGATAACGCCATCGATTAGTAGCCATGGAACCCTACCTGACACGGCAAAGAATCAAAACCAACAGCGAAGATCGTGTGATTGCTTCCTCGACTTTTTGCGTATTACTGCAAAGACAGTCCACTAGGTTTAGGTGAGGTATATATGCACATATATAAAGTGTGCATACAAAGTAGTAACGAGTCTCGCAATCAATCCATGGGATCTTTTGATGACCTTTTTACTTACTGTAGAGGCGACATTGTCTGACCAGTGATCAGATTGCGGTGGATGGAACCAAGGAGGTTGGATGTGAATGTTGTCCTTGGACGACAGGTGGATACGTTTGCCCATCGACGGTGTGGCCACTGAGGGTAGAAACTCGCAAGCTTCGGTGAACGTGTGGGCGCTTCGGACGAGGCCCGGGAAAATGTGCAAACGTGGCATCGGGGACCGCAATCGAATAGGCGGCAGATTGGAAAACAGTGGTCTGATCATTGAGACGGTCGGATGTTCCACAACTGTCCGTTCTCCGGAAGATAATAACGAGCCCAACCCACTGTTGAGCGAGGATCGAAGATTGTACGCCGTGGAATTCGCAGATGACGAGGTGCTGGAGCGACGCACACGCATTGGATTGATATCGGAATCCACAGAAAGGGTGTTCTTTTGTTCCGATTCGAGATAGGCCATCGGGACTCGGATACAAACATGCATTGCACCAAAATCGATTAGACGATAAGTTAAGCCAGTGATTCGATACTGAAAAGAACGGAAAAAATACGGTCATGTTGAAAGCAATCAAATTCAAATTGGTCAGAATGTTCATGGATTGTGGGAGGCACATCGATGAAACAATATTTCATCTGAAGAGCGGCACCTCACGACTCGTGATTTAGAAACTCCACCTCAGTTATTTGACCTGCCTGGAGATGGCGTAAGCGTAGCGCACAGGCATAAAGAATAACGAGGTAATGTAGACTGACGGTTAGCATTGAACAAAGCACTACTCATCACTGGGTTCCCAATTCATCCACGGTGAACTATTTTAGGCAGTTAGTAAACTCCAAATAGAAGCGGGATCCCATCGGTCATCGTTGGGTGCAACTAATAAGAGAATTGGCATACACACACCGATCGACACTCAGACGCCCCAGAAAGATCCAGAAAGAAGCTGGTCTGACCTGTGGTCAACCTTCGAAGTGCACACCGAATTTTTTCCCTTTACGAATGAACTCGATGACATTTGGTCAAGAAAAAATGTAGACATTGTCCACGTGGAATGCACTACTCACAAGGTTGCTGAAAACACTTGGACAGCCCACCACTGGTCTATCGCTTCTTGAGACTCGCCCTGATTTTCCATCAGCCTAATATTCTAATTAAAGCAAAAATTTGATGTAATTTGTGAACTCCATCCACTTGCACATTAGTGTGATTTGAACGGAAGACCCAGCAGAATCCAGGTGGATGACGGAGAATCGGGAACCATGCCCACCTGACGAGTCTTATAAAGGGCGAAACAACTCAACTGTAACAGCTGTTTCGGTGTGTCAGAGAGTTTGCGTATGTCCGTTCGTCGCTCCACCATCGATCTGGCGTGTGACTTGACTGGCTGCTGATTGGGTGCGTGTCCGATTGGTTGGCTCATGTGACTGGATTGTGGGTTGACTGGATATGTGACTCAGTTGTTGGCTTACCCGCCACGAAAACGGACCAAATTGGCCGCGTGTACGCAGTACACCTGTGTCCGTAATTACGTGTTTTTCTGACTTACTGTGAACTACACTATCAACTTTATGGGTAGTCAGACGAGTCTAGACGAGGTACCACGATATCCCGAGTACTGTACAAATTGAAAACATGAGGCAACCTTGTGCAACACATTCGCTTGAAGAGCATCATAAACGAGAGTTTCGGCTGAATTCAGTTGAGTCACGTGATCGATTGAAATTAATGTGCAAAGGAATATGTTTCGCGAAGTGTTATCGTTGTTTTGGAGTTGTCGTGAGTGATAACTGCTTCTCAGTTTTGTCAGAAAAAAGACATTCCTGTCGGCCGCACACGATTGGCGATGTGGTAAAAACGATTTATCGGTTGATTTTCGCTGATTAAGGTGAGATTTGAATGACAGAGATGAGATGTTTTTATGACTTCTACCTCCCATCAAGTTTGTTCAGGGGTCCACGACTTCTCTGTGAGCGATCGATCAAGGGTGCAACTTGTCCTCTTGGACATAAAATTGACAGAGAGAAAACAGTAGAAAAATAAACAAGCCGTCGAGAAACGCAGTTGAATATCAAGCGTTACTGAAAGACTCGGCAGTTGCGGAACACGCACTGGACACGGGACACAAAATAGACTTAGAAAATGTTGAGGTTTTGAGGCGAGGACTACGGTCCACGTCACACAGACTGATCGCCGAGGAGGTAGAAATCGCCAAGCATCCCAGTGTTAACAGAATAGAAGGCATGGAACTGGCTAGCGTGTGGAAAACGATCTTGGGTCGCTTGAGCTGGCACGTTTCGGTGTGCGGTCATCAGAAGGAAGAGTGGTCATCATCTAAAATCCACTTGACCTCAACTCCCCTCAAACTAAATTGTCAGAGCACTCACAACCCCACAAAGACCAGTGGCACCCGAGGTGAATCATCAAGTGAAGCACCCTGAAGGGGAAGATTAAGGAACGAAAAACTATTGGAACCAATTTGGAACTCCTCCAACCCATCAATCCAAGATTTTGGCACCCACACTAGCCGACAAGAGCCGTTAATTGACACTCAACACTGATCTAGTGAGATAATCTGAAGAGGATTGACTTACAGACTGGTTCCCCGTCTGCCTTATAACCTGGCCAATTTGGTGACCTGTTAATCTGGCCTGATGAGCTTTTGTGTCAAAAGCGAAACGTTGCCCAAATAAAAACTACTGATTGTTTACCAAGCTCGTCTGAAACGAGGGTTGGAAACAGCCAAAACAAAACCATCTAAATTTAATCGAATAAAGCCACATAAATGGAATGTAGAGGGGACCAAGGGCCAGCCTACCACAAACATCCAATGAGCATACAGCTCCAACGCTCAGTCAGACAGCCTGGATAGAAACTGACAGTATGAAGGTCAGGGACAACGGTCGGCCGCACAGGAAAAGTCACGTGAACCCCATTCTGGAAGATGTAGAGTACCAGCACAACGACACCCAAATTAGTGTATTGCAGACCGTCTGAAGAAGTCCTTGTGGTGATCTATAGTCTTGTTTTCACGCCACCGGCTTCTAGAAACGTCCTTGTACGCTTCTCTTCGGTTACCTGATGGAATTTCACACCTGCAGCTCAAAAGATACTTTGTCCTGTCCAGGAGAAGCGGAGTTATTGCATGAACAGTCTTGTAATCGTCCTTTTAGGTATGAGTCTGAGCGCTCGTGTGTAGTTGTGAAATCTGTCAGATGATGGTGAATAGTGATCATTCAACAGTTCTACAGGTGCCGATGAGAGGTAGATGCAAGCGAAAATAGATCGCCAGAACCAACCATGTACAACCTGAACTAAACTCTGAAAGTGTGCAAACCTCCATATCAATGATGGTTGAGAAAAGTGAGTGGTCCTGACAGAACTCAGAAGGTCAGAAGTTCCAATCAGGTGGTGCATTTGTGAAAGTGTACTGTTTGTCGGAACTAGTTGGGTGCTTGTCTTGGGGGGAGTACCGCGTACTTCCCCATACATACACAAACGCATAGTATAAATAGCGGGGATACAGATATAACATCCATTTCGCGCCGTGCCAACGGAAGGAGACTGGGAGGTTACCCAAGCCGAGGTCGGGTTCGAAGCACGAACCTTCGGGTCCGCAAGCTGCGGGATTAACCACTGGGCCAGTTTGAGCAATAACATCAACTCACATAGGCGCAATCGGATGATCCTTCCATAGGCACTAGGATCCGTAGCATTTCCATGGTTGGTACAATATTGACAAGTAGCCGGATGCCGGACGTCTTGGCAGGAAGTTCACAACTCACTGTCTTGGCACGTCGACGCCAGCTCGTATCCAACTTTGTCCGCGGATGGAAACGGTAATCTTGTGCGGCTTCTAACAAACACGTTTTGTTCAGTTCCACGGGATAACCATCCTGGAAATAAAACGAAAAATGTGAGGTCAACCGACGAGGAGAAAATTCTCAAATCCGTAATAAGGAGCATGGGCTACAATGGGATTCCAACAGATAAACTGCGCTTCACCTTTGGTGTAGCATTGGACAAAGTTAGAATGACTGGTTTTTCGAAACGTCTGCATCTAGTTGGCTCGGACTGATCGCACCCGGTGGTTCACATGACCCCCAGGTAAGGAACAACCCCCTTCGGTTGGGTTGGCTAACGTTCGACAATCCCGGGGATTCTAAATTCAATCTCCAAGCCTCGACGCCCGGTTTACTTGGTTGCTACTAATGTCTCTCTGTCTTGAAACAAGTGGGACAACAGGCCGCGCTGTTGTTCCCACACTGGACTCGGTTGATGCATGATTCGTATCGGAGACGAAAACTCAGAATTTGAGTATAGTTGCTAGGCTAACTGTCCCATCTCTCGCTCGCAGCCACGAACCTCTGGCGATCCAGAGGCCGTTGAAACAGGCTGTGCAAGGGGTCGGGATCGTTCTGAGTTCTAGGGCGGAAGAAAACTAGTGTTCAGATGATGACCCTATCGACGCGGAGTATACGGATGACATCGTTTCCGTCTTCAAAGTGGTGATTCTGGATGAACTGACCCGACCAGTGGCATGTGTTTGGTAACCACAGAATGTAAGGTCGTGCCGTTGTCCAAGAGGATATTCAGAACCAAGTGCTTTGTACTTGTCGCACCGGGCACACATAAAAACAGCCGTATGGACTTCTATTTTTAGCCTCGTCCATCATAAATTATTCCATCACGCGCTCTCCAAAATATGGCCTGGCTGGCTGCCAGAGTTGATGGTGGCTTAATGTAGCGATCAAAAGGGACCATCAACTTGGATACTTGGGAGGCCAATGTCTCTTATAAGGCGTCTGTGTTGCGTTCCAGGTAAGGCAGAAATTTTTCGGTTTTCTAGAGTCACGCCCTCCGGGAACGTTATTGCATGTTGTACACTGGCTTACGAGGTGGATCTGAAAAGTTGAATACACACGATGAGCAATGAGACCTTAGTAAGGCGAGATGGGACTCATAGATGAAGTTAAATGAGTGTGATTCAATAAATGGACGACCGTCGTATTGGATCCCACTTAATCGATTTAGGAAATTCGTCGATGAGGTGAAACTGTACTGGACTACATGGCAAAACTAAGCAGCTTATTAGGTTTCACGGGGTCCGGATAGCAGGCGGAACTTACCAAACATGGTGTAGCGGAGTGGGTGTGAAATCGTTCAGCGATCGGCTGGACAGACCGAACAACTGAATGACCATATTTGGTCATTTAGCCATCCTATGCATGCACGCAAAAGCACCGTATGTTTGTCCTGACAATACAGCCGTGTCCCGGGTTCTTGGTCTTCTTCTTGCGTAGTCTGGCGGGCTCAGTTCAGACGTAACCAATAAACGGCCATCCATGATTCAACTTGTTAGGTGGGATTCCACATGGATCCCACTTTACCGCCCACAGTTAGGCACTGCTGCGGCCGAGAAGCCTAAGATTAGCCAAAGATTCGGGCCGCTTGCCGGTCCGGCATCAAGCCGAGATCTGAATATATATATAGGAAGCGCTGTACAGGTGTCCTTGACTTCATTTTGGGCACTGATACACCTTATGCACCTTTGGGTGTTTTGACGTGAACGTTATTTTGGAGGCTCAGACTGAGAGCTAAGCTGAGGAAAATAGCGTTACTACACAACTATATGTGCACGTATATCCTGTCTGAGGACGAAGTAATCATGCTACTGACCAGCTGATCATGACCGGACGGCATAATCTTCGACTGTTAGGTGGAAGGTCGCGGGATCGAAACGCCCCAATGGAGTTTCGTGATGATTCCTAGTAAGAATGAAACAGCGTTTCCCGGCATAGATCGATTTCACTTCAAAGGTGGATCGGAATTTCCGAGGTTCATAACTATTAACAGATTTTCCGAAACTTCACTTAGTACTATTTTTCAAGCTAATTGAGAAGCCTACAAACGAAAAACGCGCGTTATTCCGTTGACACAAGAGATCTGCATGTCCATCGTGAGCTCATCGATCAATCAGTAGACAAATCTGCATGGCTTGAATCAACCACACACTCAGGAACGCGAGCCTTCGTCCCAAAAGAAGCCTCCCCCAAAAACGACGAAATGGCCCGGGATACATTCCAGTTAAAATATTAGTGAGAAGACATTTTGGTTTTTGAAGCGGCTGAGAAACACAGTCAGAAGAATGCCCGATAGACCCGGATTTTGCCCCGTGGAACGTTGCCTTCGTGAGTATTGGTGAAACGATATGACCCCATATTTATCTATGATCGACCTTGACAGAGAAGAACAGGCCCTCTCATCGATCATCAGGTCTTGTTGGAACACAGAGAAAGCCACAACATGGGTAGAAGCAACGCACAATGACTCAGAGCCTGTTACAATCAGTAGAAACAAAAACGAAAGATTCCACTGCATATTCACGCGGACAACCAGATGAGCCGCAAGGACACAGCAAAACGATGGAACACTTTGGTATCCCTACATGTATCTGCTCCAGGAGCAATATACAGGGTGTCTCATAATAGACGCAAAAACGATACCCATGTTATTACTTCAACACCAATACAAACATTCATTATTTTTTATGTAAACATACATGCATCATGGAGGTTTACTGCGAACAAACTGGCATTACAAAAGATGTTGAGAAAAAACCGCCCCTATCTTGTATAACAAGTTGGAGGTGGTATGAGATATGAGACACAGCAAGCGTCACTCGTGCACACTCCTCTTCAATTCTTGCTCTTAACACCATCGAATTCTTTGGTTTATTTTCATGATATACGCCAGCCTTGATCATTCTCCATTCTTCCGTGATGTTTTGTAATAAGATGAAATGATGCGGGTAAAGATGAAGGTGGCGTCTCATAATACGATGCACGCTGGCGCAGGGAATGCCGGTCAACTGAGACACCTGAGTTATTGACGAAGATGCCATGGTGCTCTGGGACTGAAGTTGCTCGACGGCATTTTGTACAATGGGCGTTCTTTCAGCACTCAGAGACTTTCTCACTTTGCCACGAAAATCCAATACAAATCCAGTGGACTCAAACTTAGCAATCAAGTGTGTAATGGTCGACGCGGTGAAAGGATCTTTGATGAGACTGTTTGGTTTTGTAACCACGAAGTGCAGCGGTGGCCCTTTCACCAAGGGAACAATAGTGTTTCACAATTTCAATGAGCGTACTGACATCCATCGTAGACAAAAAATGCCAACACTCGCACACAAAACCTCCTTTATGTGGCTACTAATAATGAAAGATTTCGTCATTCTTCCTCTGATTGGCTACAGTTACTCACCCAATCAAATTTTTTGTCTATTATGAGACACCCTGTACTTGGGAAAGCAGACAACAGAAACAAACTCACCTCGATACATGGTTTACTCTTTTTCCTCGGATTATCGGTCGACGTGGGCAGTTCGACGATCAAACGGACAGCTTCCAACTGTATGGTATGGGGTTGGTTGGAACTGTTCCTGTTCGCCGGAGATACGATTCGAATCAATTCGACACGCTGTGGGTAAGGAGACCGGATTGGTAGTGAGCAAGACACTGATCACCAAGGTCAGTTCAGAACGAGACTAAGAATGGTGGATATTGGGTAATGTTCGAAACGATCGCGCCTATTTCAAACTGGGTGCTTACAGGACAGTTATGATAGTGAGATGTAGATGGCTCTGGAGAAATGTGCCTTTTGGTCCACTTCAAACCTAAGCTGACCAACTTGATATTCAATGTTACAGTACGACGCAAACTTGGTTTAACATCAGATAGACGGGGGGGGGAACTAATCAATAAACTTTTACCGATAAAGAAGCATCAACAGTTTAGATGGTCTACGCGCGAAACAAACTGCCGAATGTGAAGAATCAAGATACCCTTTAGGTGACTTATCAGTCATGAAAATGCGCTTTATCGACTGGATGAAGAAACGGGGTTCGAACTTGGATATCGTGAACTTAGACCGATATCTTTCCTAAAAATGAGCGCTTACTATATAATGTCCAGCATAGTAGGTACGAATGTACAACTGTAAGAAAACCCGTGGAATGTGTCCGACAATCTGTGAGCATATCAAAACAAAAACAGCAGTTCCGTGTGCTGTACATGGAAACTTAACTGAAAGCTAATTCGGTTTTTCGAGAGACTCACCTGCAACCCAGCTAAATCTCTCGTTTGTGATGTTCTCAGGCAACTGAATGTGCTGCACCAGGCCGCCTCATGTTTCAGTCGCTACGATATTTGAAATATCGCGATACATGTATATCTTTGTAATGTACTACTCATAAAGTTGCTGAAAATCATCCAACAACTCACGACCGATTTCGCCATTCTTGGGGCTCATCAGCTAGGCGCAGTCTCGGATATCGTAGCGACTGAAACATGAGGCGGTCCGGTGCAGCACTTTCAGTTGCCTGGAAACATCAGAAACGAGAAAGGCAGCTGGATTCCAGGTGAGTCCCCCGAAAAACCAAATTAGTTGCAAATGAGTGTATATTTGCTAATTTCGTGCAATTTGGTTTCAAGTAGAACATAAGGTTGACGGAAACCAGGGGACTGCGCCTACCTGATGAGTCCCAAAACGGGCGAAACCGGTCGTGGGCTGTCGACAGATTTTCAGCAACCTTATGACTAGTACGTTAACTAAAAAGCGTTTATGAACTTTGTAGAACAGCTGAAAATTTGAACGATTCCACGCGTTTGAATCGGTCAGTGGTCGCAAGATCAACGAAACCTCTCGCATAGGAAAGGCCCATGCCAGTAAGAAATATCGCCACTTATCGGAGACGCAGTGAAACCATGGCTTGGCAGTTTATTCCTCATGAGTTTTCACTGCGCTGTTCTATACGCGGTCGTCACAAGGTAGCCCTCATATGTGTGCATAAATGGACCAGTTACACTCCTCACCATCAAACCGCAAATGTTGTGTTTGTCCCCAGTCGGTGTGTTCCGGAAAATTTGCACACCAAAGAACATTTTCCGTTAAAACCCCTCTGAATGATTTGTATAAAAGCGACATATTATTCAGAACGTTGCTGGAAAGGATTCGATATCTCACGACCGGCTTCATCCTTCTTGCGGCCTATCAGAAATGTGCAGCCCCGAGTTTTCATCAACCTTGTGTTCTACATTAACCCAAACTGTGCGAAATTCGCCAGATACACTCGTCTGCATACCAATTTGGTTTTTCACAGGATACTCACGTGGAATCCAGCTGAATCACTGTCAGGTGAGTCTGTCGGTATGCAAACGAGTGCATTTGTCACTAAATGACTTCGTCCCAAGACGCCTCTGATAGGTCAGTTGCTGGGGAAGCAAAAGTCCAAATGTGTCATTATTAGGCGTAATTCCACACCGATTCCGCTTTACCGCTCGTAGTTAGGCGCTGCTACGGCCGAGAAGCCTATACCGCACGGGATTGGCCAAAATTTCGGGCTGCTTGCCGTCCGGCATCAAGCCGAGATCTGATTGGTCGAAAGTCTGGACCCAACAGCCAATCATGACGCAGTATGTGCCGAACGCTGATTGCCAACGGCGCATCCACAAGACGGCAGAATGTTGCCCTGGTAAGCATTTTATATACGACGCGCTGTACAAGTGTTCTTGAGCGGGTTTTGGGCGCTAACATACGTTGTGTCTTCTTCTCAGATCACCACAGACACTGGTGATGCTATCATGATTTGTCTTGCTTTCCAGTTGGCAACACAGTCGATCCTCCAGCACATAATTACGCATATTTGGGCGTAATTTTCGACCATTCTGCGCAAGACCGAACGTGTCTCATGTCCAGACTAGGTAACCGACAATTCGACCGCCACATGCACTTGTTCGACCTCAAATGTAGTCGTATTAACCTCCGCGTGTACTGCTATGTAGGTCACGGCCAAGCATCTGGAGAGCTACGTGATGACGACAAATTCCACGGTACATATGCACAAAACTGGGCTCTGATGGTACGTTTCGGAAACATGAAAACTAGAATCCAAATACTGAAAAAATAAGTCAGCTGGATTTTAGTACTCTGAAAAAAAAGAAGGACAAGGTAATATTCTCAAGAATTTCCTAGTTTCTGACCCGTCAGAGCGAAGTAACCAAATAGTTCAGCTGTAACACCCTTTCATTGCCTAGCTATCATGTCATTCGAAGGAAGTATGAGGGCTGAGATACTGTCAGGTCGCCCAAGTCTAGACAGGAGCAGTCGATGGGCCAGAGTTGGGATCGAACGACGGAAGTTTCGGTCAACCACTGAGACCTCTCGAGCCAAGGCTTAGTGAGAAATTTAGGGCGACCACTTTTTCTAGGCTACACGTTTCAAAACAAAACACCATTTCACAAGTGCCCAACACCGACTGAGGATTCCGTTTCTAACTGGAGTCCGAACGCTTGAAGAAAGCGAACGAATTTGATCCGAAAAGTTAATGGAATTCGGAGAACTGGGAATTGTCGGGAAAAAGGCCGTTTCACAGCAATTTCCAGTGCGAATTACATGTCACTGAACGAAAATGAATTTTGAAAAAAAAACTGACGATCACGGCATCCTAGTTTTAAGGTGTGTATCAAATCGAAAGTTGTTGCACGTAGTTTTATATCTGATTCTCCCGAGCATCTGGAAATGTCAAAATTGGCGCTTCATTCAATCGAACATCCCATCCATGTCAAGCATAAACAGCTCCACCAAAAGGGTGGGTTGTGCCCGGCAGGGATGCAACAATTACAGTCACCTCCAACCTCAGCCTCCATCCCACCATCATCACTATCATCATCCTCATGATATCCATCATTAGTGTCAGGCGGACCGTACTCCGGAAGATGATAAGACTACCAATCAACCAACCAACCAACGCTCAGGTGTAGCACCCTCCCGGTGCCTAGCTGCCATGCCACCCGAAGGAAGCACGAGGGTTGGGATATCGCCACGTTGCACAAGCCTAGATAGGGGAAGTCGAGAGGCAGAGGTCGGGTTCGAGCCATGGACCTTCCGATCAGTAAATCCGCGCTCTAACCACTTGAGCCGTCTCGCCCCGCATCGAGATCTTTGCTAACTGCCTTCATCCAGTTCCGCTCACTCCGTCTCTTGTTCAAATCTGCCTTGAAACGGAGCAACCAGCTGATCACACTGTCGTTCAGTGACTCGGCGCCAAACGGCCAACAACTGGCCCGATGAAGATGAGTTTGAAACTGCTTACTAGAGTTTTATGAGACGCATGCTACTGATGGTCCCCAACAAGAATGAAACGGTGCTTCTCAGCTCTTCAGCATAGACCTCTATTAAAAAACTGATCTTGGCACCAAAGTTTGGGGGTGTTGGATGTAATCCTCAAGTGCAGGATTCGGGGCATCACCAACTTTATTGGCAACAGCCTATGCGGTAATAGTCCGGACGTCATCACCATCAAAGACAGCAACATCAGTGTTGGCACTGATGCTTCACTGCTGTACAACCATAAGGTTCGTTCATATATATTATACATATATACTTATACTAAAAGCCCTACTGTGAAGAGAAGAGTAAGAGTGGGTGAGGGAGGGGACCTAGTGCTGGCCTATGTCAGGCATTCCGAGGTGCCTACACATCCAACCACCCAATCAGACAATCTGAAAAGAAACTGACAGCTCGAACGCCATTGACGTCGATTAGCCGCCATTTCTTGCAATGTCTCCAGCCAAGCATACATGGGATCACGGGGACTCAATCCTGGAAGGCGTACAACACCAACAACGGCAAACTCTTTCGTGATCTCTTTCACGCCTTTCTGCCAAGTCATGTGTTGTCCACCTCGCGGTTTGTGCCATCCTGAAGGAGGCACGGAGAACAACACTCGTCTTGGTAGACGGTGTTTCGGTCATCGTAGTCGATGATGCTGGATGTTTTCTNGGATTGAAGTGCCCGCAGCACAACCAAATACCCGTTTTCAATCACTAACACGCTGACGCCATCCGAAACCAGCCACGCTTCTGGGGCATCGGTGGTCGAAAACCTGAAGACGCCTCACATCATCTACCCGCAGTGGTCATGTCTCGCACCCATACAACAACACAGCCCTAACAGTAGAGTCCGGAATTAACGATCGTGAAATGGCTGAATGTACCTCGGTTTCTATTTAAGTAATAAAAGAACATGGGGGAGGTGTTGTAAGGGGAAGCGGATATCTTACCAATTCGGATAAACGTAAATCCACGGGGAGGACATTGTCCACCAAGAACTCCAGTTCAACCGGCTCTTCACAAACCCAGTCAACGGCTGCAGGGAAGTGAACAAATTCAAACAATGAGAACTGTTATAAATGATTTTTTACAAAAAAACACGATAGACAGCTATTCATTAGAAGTCTTCTAGAGAAAGAAATATGTAGTCTCATGCACTACACATAAGTTTGCTGGAAACATCACAAACGAGAAATTCAGTTGGGTGCGCCTCTCGCAAAAATCAGATTTGTTTGCAAATGAGTGTATTTCGCTAATTTCCCGCAATTTGGTTTCGAGTAGAACATAAGGTTGACGGAAACTCGCGGACCGCGCGCCTACCTGATGAACACCAAGAAGGGCGAAACCAGTCGTGGGCTGTCGAAGAATTTTCAGCAACCTTATGAGTAGTGCATTACATATATACATGTATTGCGATATCTCGAATGCCGTACCAACTGAAGCATGGGGCGGCCTGGTGCAGCACATTCAGTGGTCGGGAAACATCACAAACGAGAGATGCAGCTGGGTTCCATGTGGGTCTCTCGGAAAGCCAAATCGGTTTGCAAATGAGTGCATTTCGCTAGTATATAGTCAAGTCCAGAAATTCAGTTTCCTAATGGTTAATCAGCGAAAGGCTTCAGTGCAAGGTTGTTGCCTCTTGACGAGACAGCTCAAACACAGTCAGTTACTTTGTAATGTAGTACTCATAAGGTTGCTGAAAATCCATCGACAGCCGACGACCGGTTTCGCCCTTCTTGGGGCTCATCAGGTAGGCGCACACTCTGTCAACCATATGTTCTACTTGAAACCAAATTGCACGAAACTAGCGAATATATACTCATTTGCAGAATAATTTTTTCTTTCGAGAGACTCACCTGGAACCCAGCTAAATCTCAAGTTTGTGATGTTTTCAGTCAGCTATTCACTAGACCATGAAACTCGTTTTTTGTCCATCGTGAGTACAGATCACGTCACACAATCGTGACTCATTTGACCTTTGACCGTTTGGTACGAGTCGAAACACGTCATGCGCACAAAATAAACGGGCAGCAACTTGGCCCACCACACACACACACAGGACAGGAAGGCAGCTGAGTTCCACGTGTAGCGGCCTAGAAAACACGCCCCACGCCGTGAACTTCACTCTGAAACAGTTGTCCTAATCTCATTATTGCTTTGGTTGCCTCATCAAGCGGATGTCGTACAACTTGAGTGGAATACATGGTATTCGATGCTTAGTTGCCATTCCATCCGTAGGAAGCACGAGGGCCGAGACACTACTAGTTTGTCCATGCCTAGACAAGAAAAGTTGAGAGGCAGAGGTCGCGTTCGAACGGTATGCCATCCGGGCCGTTCGTCGCACCTTAACCACTGAGCAATCTCGCCCCCCCCCCACCCAATTTACTGTAGTGACCTGTAGAATCGGACGATTGTTACTGCTACTGAATAGCAGCTGGGGAGTATCCCGTTCTGCGGTGAAGTCGGCGTTCGCCATCATCTATGTTTAAACGTGTAAGGGCTTTGTGCATATTGGAAGCTGATCGGACAGCGGCCCAAATTGAAGTAAAGAACAAACTTCGGGGTAGTGGATATCCAGCTAGCTTGATTAAGCGTCAATTGCGAAGAGTGTTGGTACCGGTAGCGAAACTCAACAGGGAATGGATTGGGATCGCTGTTATCCCATATAGACCAGGGACATCGGAGATCATTCGAAGAATTCTAAACACGGCTAATATAAGAGTAGCTTTCCAGAGGGGGGACACTCTGCGATCTGCACTGATGCAATTGAAGGATCGCCTCCCGGCAAAGAGAACCAGGGACTGTGCCTACAAAATTGAGTGCGCCAGGGAACCACGCATCAGAGTCGGAGAGTATAGCAGCTGGGTTCCATGTGGGTCTCTCGGAAAGCCAAATCGGTTTGCAAATGAGTGCATTTCGCTAGTATATAGTCAAGTCCAGAAATTCAGTTTCCTAATGGTTAATCAGCGAAAGGCTTCAGTGCAAGGTTGTTGCCTCTTGACGAGACAGCTCAAACACAGTCAGTTACTTTGTAATGTAGTACTCATAAGGTTGCTGAAAATCCATCGACAGCCGACGACCGGTTTCGCCCTTCTTGGGGCTCATCAGGTAGGCGCACACTCTGTCAACCATATGTTCTACTTGAAACCAAATTGCACGAAACTAGCGAATATATACTCATTTGCAGAATAATTTGGTTTTTGGAGAGACTCACCTGGAACCCAGCTAAATCTCAAGTTTGTGATGTTTTCAGTCAGCTATTCACTAGACCATGAAACTCGTTTTTTGTCCATCGTGAGTACAGATCACGTCACACAATCGTGACTCATTTGACCTTTGACCGTTTGGTACGAGTCGAAACACGTCATGCGCACAAAATAAACGGGCAGCAACTTGGCCCACCACACACACACACAGGACAGGAAGGCAGCTGAGTTCCACGTGTAGCGAGAAAACAAACACGCCCCACGCCGTGAACTTCACTCTGAAACAGTTGTCCTAATCTCATTATTGCTTTGGTTGCCTCATCAAGCGGAGTACAACTTGCCACACACACACACAGGACAGGAAGGCAGCTGAGTTCCACGTGTAGCGGCCTAGAAAACACGCCCCACGCCGTGAACTTCACTCTGAAACAGTTGTCCTAATCTCATTATTGCTTTGGTTGCCTCATCAAGCGGATGTCGTACAACTTGAGTGGAATACATGGTATTCGATGCTTAGTTGCCATTCCATCCGTAGGAAGCACGAGGGCCGAGACACTACTAGTTTGTCCATGCCTAGACAAGAAAAGTTGAGAGGCAGAGGTCGCGTTCGAACGGTATGCCATCCGGGCCGTTCGTCGCACCTTAACCACTGAGCAATCTCGCCCCCCCCCACCCAATTTACTGTAGTGACCTGTAGAATCGGACGATTGTTACTGCTACTGAATAGCAGCTGGGGAGTATCCCGTTCTGCGGTGAAGTCGGCGTTCGCCATCATCTATGTTTAAACGTGTAAGGGCCTAGAAAACACGCCCCACGCCGTGAACTTCACTCTGAAACAGTTGTCCTAATCTCATTATTGCTTTGGTTGCCTCATCAAGCGGATGTCGTACAACTTGAGTGGAATACATGGTATTCGATGCTTAGTTGCCATTCCATCCGTAGGAAGCACGAGGGCCGAGACACTACTAGTTTGTCCATGCCTAGACAAGAAAAGTTGAGAGGCAGAGGTCGCGTTCGAACGGTATGCCATCCGGGCCGTTCGTCGCACCTTAACCACTGAGCAATCTCGCCCCCCCCCACCCAATTTACTGTAGTGACCTGTAGAATCGGACGATTGTTACTGCTACTGAATAGCAGCTGGGGAGTAAACGTGTAAGGGCTTTGTGCATATTGGAAGCTGATCGGACAGCGGCCCAAATTGAAGTAAAGAACAAACTTCGGGGTAGTGGATATCCAGCTAGCTTGATTAAGCGTCAATTGCGAAGAGTGTTGGTACCGGTAGCGAAACTCAACAGGGAATGGATTGGGATCGCTGTTATCCCATATAGACCAGGGACATCGGAGATCATTCGAAGAATTCTAAACACGGCTAATATAAGAGTAGCTTTCCAGAGGGGGGACACTCTGCGATCTGCACTGATGCAATTGAAGGATCGCCTCCCGGCAAAGAGAACCAGGGACTGTGCCTACAAAATTGAGTGCGCCAGGGAACCACGCATCAGAGTCGGAGAGTATAGTAGAAAAATAAACAGGCCGCAGAGAAACGCACATGAATATCGGGCGTAAGTGAAATACTCGGCGATTGCGGAACACGCACTGGACACGGGACACAAAAAAGATTTATAAAATGCTGAGGTTTTGAGGTGAGGACTATGGTCCACGTCACACAAACTGATCGCCGAGGAGGTAGAAATCGCCAAGCACCACAGTGTTAACAGAATGGAAGGTGTGGAACTGGCAGGCGTGTGGAGAACGGCCTTGGGTCACTCGAGCTGACACATGTTGGTGTGCGATCATCTGAAGTCCACTCGACTTCAACCCCCCGGTCAAACTAAACTGTCGGAGCACTCACAACCCCACAAAGACCAGGGAAAATCCGCCAGTGGCACCCGAGGTGAATCATCAAGTGAAGCACCCTGAAGGGGAAGATTAAGGAACGAAAAACGATCGGAACTAATTTGGAACTCCTCCAACCCATCAATCCAAGATTTTGGCACCCACACTAGCCGACAAGAGCCGTTAATTGACACTCAACACTGATCTAGTGAGATAATCTGAAGAGGATTGACTTACAGACTGGTTCCCCGTCTGCCTTATAACCTGGCCAATTTGATGACCTGCTAACCTGGCCTGATGAAGCTTTTGTGTCAAAAGCGAAACGTTGCCCAAATAAAAACTACTGATTGTTTAGCAAGCTCTTCTGAAGCGAAAGAATGAGCAATCTTCAGGAACGAACACACGCACATGTGTGTAGAGAGGTAAATGAGGTTGATCCTTCCACAGAGGAAACCTATCAAGAATCTTTCGAATAACGTGGTTCCTCGTCCTAGCTGAGAGGAAGCTCTTTAAGGTCCAAAAGAGAGGGTACCACTTTTGGTAAGGCTTTCCACTCTTGAGGACCTTAAAGACCTACCTCTCAACTAGGAGGGGGAACCACGTTTTTGGAAAATTCTTGAAAGGTTCCCTCCATGGAACGATCAACTCCATTTACCTCCCCACACACACACACACACCTGTGTGTGTGTTCTTCCCAAAGGTCACAGAGAGGAATAGGATAGAACACAGCAGAACTGAAAATGGAAGGCTTGACGATCCTTTGGGGACGTTCTATTGTGGAGCCATCATCACCATCGTTCAGTTGTAGCATCCTTTCGATGCCAGGCTGTCAGGCCATACGAAGGAGGCACGAGGGCTGAGATACTGCCAGGTTGCCCAAACCTAGACAGGGGAAGTCGAGAGGCTGAGGTTCGAACCACGGACCTTCCGGTGAGTAAATTCGCGCTCTAACCACTTGAACCATCTTGCCACTCTATTTTGGAGTTTCGTCCCACAAAAATTTACTGTACGTTTGAAGTCTCCGGAACAATAAACTTCTCACAGTGACTGTATTTTTGTGAGTAAATCTCACACACACACACACGTTTGAAATGGTCAATACCAGGTAATTCAACGTTATAACCCTCATTGCCAAAAAGGCAAGTGCTGGGCACCAGAGAAACAAGTTCATGACTAACGAACCCCCCAGGGAAACTCCCCTCTCTGTTGTTGGCAGTGATGCGTTCCGTCTAATAAACCTGGCCTTCGGGTGATGCTAGAAAAGACCTCACTAGTCTGGCGAATTCCATCGATCGGAGGACTTGATAACTCGGACTTGAAACGATGGTATGAAACGCATTTCTCGACTAAAAATGTGCTTGGATAGACGTTCGAATTTCTCGAAAGATCGCAGCTAACACCATGAGGAATCAGACAATCTTGCTTGAAAACATCGTTAACGAAAGATTCAGCTGGGTTCAAGGTGAGCCTCTCGCAAAACCAACTTGGGTTCAAGAAGAACATAAGGTTGACGGAAACTCTGGGACTGCACGCCTACCTGATGAGCCCCAAGGGCGAAGAATTTTCACCAACCTTATAAGTAGTGTGTTAACCTTTGTACAACTTCATACAGTCTGGCGACAAAGCATAATCAGTCTACCCACCGAAAACTAGGTAGAAAATAATAGAATGAATTGCGAGCCTTTGAGGTGCGAAAATCAATCGGAAGGTAGTAACAAAGCCAACGACGAAGATGTGTTCTCGATTACAACCGATTACAAACGAAGGAAGGGTCGTTGAATTATGAAGGAAACAGCTATGGTGCTGAGAAGGAAATCCAACGGTTGTAATGTATTACTCATGAGGTTGCTGAAAAGCCATCGAAACCCAACGTTCTATCTCAAGTCAAGCTCGTAATACTAAACAGGAAAGAATGGATCACGACTTTCTGGTGAACACTTCAAACCGAGGTAACACTGTACGACCGGCAAAACATGTTTCCAAGAGATAAATGCAGATATCTCAAAAAGAAAGCTGAGAAAATCTTGGGGAGAAAAGGGATTCTGACAGAGGAATGCAACTAGAAGCAATCGATAACTTACCACTAGTGTGGCTGCCCCCGACGAGGTCGGGACCAGTTGGCGCGTAGAAGAAAACTCTGGTGGATGAGACTGACCCGACACCTGATTCAGTGGTGGTGGACTTTGGTTCCGAACAGTCCACGGGTGAAGTATGAGCGGAGCTTGGGACTGCGGAGGCCAAGGCAGCTTGTGACAGTTCGCACGGAATGAGATAGTCCGGTAGGGGCATGACTGTGATTTTTCTATAATGAATTGGGAGATTGGGAAGGGGAGAACAGAAGAACAAGCCTGAAAGAGTTTTCCGCCAGTGTAGGTCTTTAGTAATGATATGATAAACAAAAGGGAGATGTTTCATCACACTGGTCGTCTAGGGAATGTGACGATCAATGCACACGTACACTGCCCCCTGAAGCAGATCCATCGTGGGTGGGGTGAGATGGCTCAATGCCATGCCCAATGCTCCTCATGTTTAATGTAGACTATCCTGAATAACTGCGCAACGATCGCGGGAAGACCGTTCACACGAGATTTAGTGGTTTGAAGGTTCGTTCGTTCAGCCAAGAGCGACTGATTGGCAGTTTGGATAACTTGAACTGAGACGGCATAATGTTGCTCATTCTCGAATGACGGAGACCACATCACACGTGTTGACTGGCCCCCAGAGTGATGACTTTTAACCAAAAACTCAACTGAATCCCAGTCTTGGTGTTGTTCTTTATCTCCTCTTCTGTTTGACCGTATTCTTGAAACCGGGTGTGATGGCCCAAGTGGCTAGAGCGGAATCCAATTGACCGGAAGGTCCGTGGTTCGAACCCGACCTGTCCAACTCTCGACTTCCCCTGCCTAGGCTTGGGCAACCTGCTAGTGGTCCAGCCTTCGTGTTTCCTTCGGGTAGCATGACAGTTAGGCACCGAAAGGATGTTACAGCTATGCGATACATCAGGGACATAACTTGAAGAACCCGGACCAAACACAACCTGCGTAAGACATTGAGAATAGAAATAAAGGTCACGTAGACATTGCGGGGAAAAACTTGTCGGTCATCGGTGAAACTGGAAACACGGATATTCCGATAGGCAGCTTCCGAATCACCTACAGTCCCTCGGGAAAAGTTTGAATAGTGCTCATGTGGATCACTGGAGTGTGTCGTTAAAGCCTGTTAGGCAATGCAGAATCACGAAGTTTGCCTGCTTACTATATGGCATTCCGCTACGATGTTTAGATCTGCACATTTCGACGTTGCTGGTAGACGGTCTTCCTAGACAAGTTAAGACACAACCGATCCAATAACGTCTGGATCTACACACTCATGTAGTTGGAACCAAGACCAATATGTGCTGGAGCCGGTCTAGCAGCGGTGAACGATTCGAGGCATCCAAGAAGCCCGCTCACGAAGGAGTGGAGTAAAAGGAAAACCGAAAACAAACATCGACAAGCTGTTGATGCCTGGCATGGGAATGATGTCAGCTGATGTGTCGACAGCCTCAGTCATCGGGTCAACTCGAAGCCGAAGCATACGATGAACCAGTGCGCGACAACTCGAAAAGATGCACAGATGCACCCCGGTAGTTATATCCGACTATATATTCATGATTTATTATCTCATTCTACGTTTTTTTTAATCGAGTTAATCGGGTGGACAGACCAGTTTGTTGTGGCCAAGATGAACAGTAAAAGGCAGAATGATGTGCTGGTGTGCACGAATAGCGCAGCTGGAACATTCTATCTATCACCAAGGCTGAAACATGAAACACCCAATTATGGGTCTTGAAAGTTGCATAAGTGTAACAGATAAGACCAGCCCAGGAATCCGGGAGGCTCGAGTCGCGAAAGGACGAGGGCGGAGGCATTGTCAGGCAGCCGAAAGGTTGGGTTCGAACTATGGACCTTCAGGTCAGCAAGTTCCCGCTCGGGCTCGGGGACAAGGCTACAGTACGGATGTGAACTTCGTGGGCAGCCGAAATGAGACGTCTTCAGGTCTTAAGCAACTGTTATCTTAGAAACTTTGGCCGTGCAGGCTGGTACCGGCGAATCCTCAACGGCATAGTTATAAAGTGACTATTGTGTTGTACACCGCAGAATTCAGTCGAAGAATGTGTCCATTATCAGACGTTGCGCTGGTTAGGGGGTTTATTGCGTGTCCAATTCAGACCAACCCTGGCAGACGGGTAGGAAAGGGACTATGAGAAGTCTGGGTGCTGTGAATGCGGCTCACCTTCCAGGATGAGACCCACCTGGTCACCCTGTGCAGGGTCACAGACGCTGTAAACTATGACTGCTGACTGTACCACTCTTTCGGCGCCCAACTGCCATGCCACCCGAAGGAAGCACGAGGACTAGAATACTGCCAAGTTGCCTAAGCCTAGACAGAAGGGAAATCGAGAGGCAGAGGTCCGGTTCGAACCACCGGTCTCCCGATCAGTAAATTAGAGCTCTTACCACTAGGACATATTACTGATTGATGTAAATAGCTTTGTTATCCCAAGTTCCTATCCAGATTGCCCACCACCATCACAAATGAACAGTAGTACGATGGTCAGTTGGCTTCCGTACCGTATAAACTAAGCAGAATAGATACGGGCAGTACGGAAAACCAAGGGGGGGTGTCGTTAAACAAACTAACCTCAAAACAGGGAGTTTGTGCACCGGAATTTCAATCAAGTCCACGAGCTGCCGCGGTTGAGTCGACACAGCAGCGCATTCCACATCATCACCATTCGACAAGACCATACCGTGTTGCCGAGGCCATAGGCGCCTGTCCACGTTGCCGGACGCATCTGACATTGAAGTGAACATGGAAGATGTCAGACGCGGCTGGTCCGGAGACCGCAGCACAGCCAAGCGGCATAAATCTTCCATGAATGTACAACACTGCGGTGTACCTAGTACGTCAGGCCATCCGTCAAGCAGTGAGAGGATGAAACTGCCGAAGAGGTAGTCAAAAAAGTAAAAGAAAATTTACCGCCAATATCTAGGTGAAAAATCAAAAGTAAAATTTCTGCCGAGAAACGAAAATTCGACAAGTACAACGTTTGAAAGGGATTGATCACCCGATTACGGTAGTCGACTAGAGTCTATATCGTACTGCTGAGGGTGGGTGACACTAGGTCCAAAGTGTGTGAAAAATAAAGACATCACTAGTCAATATTCGTTCTCGGATTGGCCCGTCATACTGAACGAAGCCGCCGACGGACACCGGCGAACAATGAGTAGTGCCAAATGCAGTTTGCGTTGGCCCGCAAGTACATCCACCTGGACGCCCTGTACTCGGTGCGAACCCGAAGGGATGGGTCGGTCGTCCAGCTGTAGCACCTTTCCAGTGCCTAGCTGTCATGCCGCACGAGGGAAGCACGAGGAGTGGGATACTGCCAGGTCGCCCAAGCCTAGACGGGAATTCTAGAGGCGGCAGAGCTCGGGTTCGAACCACGGACCTACCGGTCAGTAAATTCGCGCTCTAACCACTTGAGCCATCTCGGGACAAGAGAGCGAGGCAGGAGGGGAGACAGTTGTGAAGCCATCCGTATACCTAAATGTCATCTCATAGTTATCACTTTAAGTGGTCGCATTGCACCCGAAAAGTTGACACTCATAGTGGATACCAAGGGTCGTTTGGTGACCCGAACCATTTATGAGACGCACTCAAGGCACACTATCTGGTACTAGCCACAATTCAGCGGTCACATTGAGTCACACAATACCGTAGAAGACACAATAACTCTCGATGAAATGTATTACAAAGAGTAAGAAATAGATTGGCTAACATTGGTAATCAACAGATAACCATGCGACCTAAAGCATAGATATGAAGTGCCGAAGTCTCCTCTGAGTAATACTCACTGTCTGACAACACCGAACGCCGTCTGCCAGCACCCCAACCACCTATGTTGAACAATCACAAGGAGTCTCTGTTCAAAGTTCAGTCACATCTGATGCGCTAACCAGTAAGAGTAAAACAGAACTGCAGTACTCAGCTTCTGGGTACGGATCACTGCTTCTCCCTGAGGCGACATTGCCTCATTATTTTCCACTACTTATAAAATATTAGTAGCCAAATAGGAAAATAGTCCAAAAGATGCATGTGGCCAATGGAGGGTGGAAAGCCCGCGGTTTGGTATACGCAAACCAAGCGACCAATCGTATAAATTCGAAACCTAGAGTTCAAATCATAAACATAGAACAGGAGCCATTCGGAGACACGGAAGATTCGCAGTGCAAATGGGTCGTGAAAAGGGGATATCCACACGGACTGCGATTCAGCATTGTTCTTTGACATAAACCCGCTTGCGTGAAACGATTAAAAATTCAAAGCAATCGTTTGAACTAAAAATTCACCAAAGATGCAAATCGACAAGTTCATTTGCCTGGATCGAGATTATTCACAATAGATGAATACAACAGTCCCCCATTTGAGGCCACTTAACTCCGTCAAAGTGAGATCTGGCTCCTTCAGGTCTATTCCAAAACTCCCAACAAAGGCCATTCCAGAGGTCCTCTTGCCGCAAAATCCAGCCTAAAGAGGACCAGGATATGCTATTCATGTGTTGGGACTCGCTGTGTTTCAAAATGAATTCGAGAGTCCGCGAGACCGCGGCAAGATATTCCCAGAAGTGGACACAGAGATTCCCATGAAGACGAAGGACCCCTTAATGCCGATCTACTGAAGCCTTTTCCAACCATCAGATCTCTGCTAAGAGGAACTACATCTTCAGATAAACCCTCTACACTGCACGGATGCAGTGCGATTTCCCGACCACTACGGAAACCACCAACCGCTGTCTGTATCTGAGACCATAAAATGCGGCATTTATCCACGGGGTGGCTAACCAACAGACCATACTTCAAAGTGCGGCATCATAGAAAAAAAATTAAGAAAGAGCATTTGAACTCGAAAAGTCACATTTCGCCGAAATTCTAGAAAGAGGGTCCTCCAGATCAGATACACCAATCCAAAGATAGGCCAGTCTTCCAACGAAGGGATAAAAGCAAATGCAAGATTCAAACGCCATTCCATGGTGTTTGTTGGTGCTCTTTCTGACGGAACAATCTCATCTTTCACTACAATTCCATCCACAAGAGGGATGACATACTGCCAGAGTTCCAAAGTTCAGAACCAGTCGAGACGGAACAATCTCATCTTTCACTACAATTCCATCCACAAGAGGGATGACATACTGCCAGAGTTCCAAAGTTCAGATAGGACCAGTCGAGATGCCGGGGTAGGATGCAAACTGTGGAAGATCAGTCGGTAGGTTCGGGGCCTGACCACTGAGCTATCCCAAGCTCAAGCTTCTAAGTTTTATCGTATTGTGCACTAAAATCATGAGTTGCTTGCGCGATCTACACGACGCCCCCCAGCTAAGACCAAGCGTGTTGTTCCCAGTGAGTGATCTTTGATGGTTATCTGATAGGAAGGCCGAACGCTTCTATGTCAAATAATGTGTGGAGGGAGTACACCAAGTGGAACAACATAGTACCAAATAAAACTTTCTTAGAAATACACTCATTTGCAAACCAATTTGTTTTTTACGAGAGACTCAACTGAATCTCTCGTTTATAATATTCTATAACTGAATGTGTTGCACACATGAAGCGGCCTGTGTGCAACACATTCAGTTGTAGAATATCATAAACGAGAGATTGACTTAGTTGAGTCTTTCGGGGAAACCGAATTGATTTGAGTGTATTTCTCGAAAACAGTCCAATTTGGGCTCAAGTGGAACATAAGGTTGACGGAAACTCGGGGACTGCGCCTACCTGGTGATGAGCCCCAAGAAGGGCGAAACCGGTTATGGGCTGTCAAAGAGTTCTCAGTAACCTTGCGAGTAGTTTCTTTTGTGTAAACCTTTCTTAGGGTGAATTACAAAATATGCAACGTAGGAAAGAGGTTTTGAACTACCAACCCGATTAGTTGAAGCCCCTTTTCCCAGGCGACCGTTGCGGAATCCTCAATTTTGGCCTCCGTCTTCAGGTGGTCCACAATGTGGCAAACTACCGAGACTTGTAGAGCTGACCAGCCAGTAGGATGGAATGTCAACTGATTTGTCCACGGCAGGCGCTTGTTTGACTGAAAGATGCGCTGGTTCCGTTTTCCCCCACCTGGCGCAGTCTTACTTCCATTTTTCCCGGCGAACTTGTACGAGCCAGGGACCCAAACCGACAGTTCTTGACGTTTTTCCGGTATCAGCGATGTGGGAATAACGGATTTCCGAAGAACGGGTTGTTTCGGCCTCGAGTCCGATGGAATTCCAACGTCTTCGTTATCCACCGCGAAGGCGTCTGGATCGTTCAGAGAACGCGCGGTGAAGTGATTGATCCGTAAACTACGGAATACCGTCCCGAATTCTTGTTCGCCTGGCAAGCGAATGTGTTGATCGAACGCTAACCAAGCGATGAGACCAGCGCGTCGCAAGTAGCCCAAATCCCGGAACAATTCGACCAACGTGCTCAAGCGTTTCACTTTGCCGATCATCTGGAATCGGATTGAAACAGAGAGGGAGTGGGAGTTGGGTGAAGACGAGTGCACATCATAAAACTCGAGAAAAGAAAAGCACACTAGATCCAATTCAAAGACCATCCCCCAGTGGAAAGTCCCGAGTGTAGAAAGCACAGCCAAGCCTCAACAGTGGTGCGACCATTCAGTCACCTGAACCAAGTCTACACAAGTAGAAACGAAAGGAGAACAAAAGAAAGGGCAAGGAAACGTGTCTTCAAGAATGGTGCGGTTCTTGGGTGTGCTCCCAGACGGAACATAATACTCACGCATTCCATCCACTCCAAAAGGAGATCGTATGAGGAGAATCCATCCGTGTACTAAAGCAAGAATAATCATTTACAAACAAAGAAATGAAGTGGCATTTAATGAAACCTATGACCCAAAACGAGGTACATATCACTCCAATTGTCCAAACGTTTTTGAGTGGTTTGGTAAATAAGTCTATTTTATTGTGTCACTCAACTGGTACCCCCGAAATCACGGGCGTTCGGGTACAAAGCAGTCGTGGTCATTCAGCTGTAACATCCTTTCGGTGCCTAGCCGCTTTGCCAAGCGGGTTCACACACTGCCAGGTTATCCAAGAAGTCGAAATGCGGAGGTTGAGTGTTAGTCACAAAGCCATCTTCTCGCTGAAGTGTGGAAGAACGCATCCATCACATACTTAATCGATCAATACAGCCCCCGAAGAGGAGGCCCTGGAAGGAACAACGCTGGAAAATGAAACATTCGGCTGGAACTTGGCGCTCAGAAGCGGAGAGCGCAAAAGTGCTCAAATAGACGAGCTCAGCTGGTGCTGGCGCTCACAGGACAAACGACAAGAGCATGTCAGAATCGAACGCACTCTGGATGTCACGATCCTACTGCGGACCGCGTGAGTAACTTCTCCCCGCCGAGCAAGCCAAGTCCCACCGTAAGGCCACAAACAATCAACAAGGGGGGGGCTGTTGTCCCGTTTGCTTGAAGGTGCAAAAGTTAAGCCTTTCGGTGTTTGAAAGTGACCGTCTGAGGCTATTGTTGTCGCTACAAGTGCCCTGAGGCAAATAAAAACCACCAGTCGTTTCGCCCAAATATTCACAGAGGGAGGATGGTGTAGGAAAGAAGGAAACCCAGCAGATGAGGCGACCCGGCTGAGGACACCACGAAACGTTCGATGCACCCTGACATAACGTTTTGTTGTAGTTCGGTTCCTGATCGTATTCGGGCTGGAAGCAACGAGTTGACCTTTGCATGTTAGCTCTGTTCCTCCGGTGAATCTTCAAACGCTCTCCAGATGAACTCTTCACTTTGACGACCCGCTGGCACTGGGTGACGAAGCATAAAGCCCCTAGATGGGCTATCATTATGAGTTTGCAAAAGGGAGAAAAAGTGATTGAAGAACGTCAAAGAAGCGGAAATTACGCATCGAACACATGGAAGGCATTTTCAGAATCGGCAAGGCTTGTCGGACCGGTGAAACCCAAGCAAGCAATTCTGTTACACCAGTACCGTATAAAAAACCCTGCTCCCCACGAGAACGGAGCCCAAGAGACTGAAGAACAAAAGTCGGGAAAAAATAAAACTATTCTCAAGATTCAAAGATGGGGTATCTAAGAGAACAAGCCAACTGGCAAAAGAAACTCACCCCATCGAATTCCTCCGACAGAGTCACACCCACGAGGGTGTCTAACAAATCGACAGCTTTGACAGATTGCTGAAAAGGGAGGATAATCGATAGTGTAACCTTCTTAAAAGTCTAGTATGAGAACACTGGTTTGGATCAATCTATCGATTCACCGTTGTGTGAGAGCACAACTGTGCTCAAACAGAAGTTGTATGGATGATATGAAGGTAGGTTTGGCGATCTGACGAGAAAAGTGGACGCGCTACACAAAGTTGCTTACAGACAGAACACAGTAAGAAAAAAAACTCACTTTTTCGGTGACTAAGAGACGAGCGACCTTGAAAGTCATTTCTTCCAGCATACCTTTATCGATCACAGCCTAAAATAGAAACCGGGAAAAGAGAAGGCAAGCGATGAAACCCGGAGGGACACGAGAATCTGCTGACTGACCTCATCAAAGTTGTCACGAAGGAATTTCTCTCAAAAAAACATGTACGAAACGTACCTTTTTGTACAGCTCCAGGGCGTCTAGAGCTTGTTGACAAAATTCCGATGGATGCGCATGGACAACCCTTTTGATCTTTTGCGATGCAGTCTCTGATCCGACTACGAGAATACAAAACAGATAGCAGTTAGCGAGACAAGAGAAACGAGAAACCCGAAATCTACAAGAACAGTCAATTAGCTAGAGACGGGTCCAAGTTTTGACTGCCCACAGACACACATCTTAATCAGCAGTGCCCATAAACCGACAGTAATATGAAACGTACAGTAATAATACCAAGTAAGCAAGTTATAATAACAAATGAGGACCTTGAAATTGCCGTGAGTGAACCACATACTAGGATTTTCCGAACTTCGACTCAAGTTCTGCACGGATCCGTAAGACTTTGAACTGACGGGAACCGCGTTTCGCCCGGATTGAATGGGATCGATGTTTTGATTCTGAACAACGCGTCGAAGAACAGCCACAGCACACAACCCCTCGGTTGAACCTGCGGACGGCGATGGTAGAAAAAAACATGATGGAAACTAAAAAGTCAAGGTCACATGAGCGTTGGTGGTTGAAAACAATGGTAACCGCAGCTGTAACACCCTATCGGTGCCTATCTGTCATGCCACCCAAAGGAAGCATGAGGGCTGGGATACTCTGCCAGGTTACCCGAGCCTAGACAGGAGAAATCGAGAGGTCGGGTTCGAACCACGGACCTTCCGAAAAGGGGCGAGATGGTTCAAGTGGTTAGAGCGCGAACTTACTGACCGGGAGGTCCGTGGTTCGAACCCGACCCCTGCCTTTAGACTTCCCCTGTCTGGGCTTGGGCAACCTGGCGGTATCGCAGCCCTCGTGCTTCCTTTGGATGGCATGGCAGTTAGGCACCGGAAGGGTGCTACAGTTGAGCGATAGTACGAAAATACGTAGAAGCGGAAGATGAGACCAACAATTATGAATGGATTAGATCAGGAAAGCAGGGTGTGATGAGCCAAAATGTGAATATGGCTCAAGATGATTGGCATATAAAGAAACTTGCTACACCTTTGTGCCGATTCGGAAATATCTGGTAAGGAAGACTGACAACACAAGACACACCTGCAACCCAAAGGTGATCCCCTAACGGTTTGAGTAGCTGTAATGCAGCTTCGTAGTAGAGTTGAGCCAAATCGAAGTCTCCAATCTGCAATGCCACATCAGCCATGTGTTTCTTCCAACGTCCCGAAATCCGGCGTTGTTTGGCCGCACTGAAAGTTGAAAAAGAGCGCAGTTAGCAACAACGGTAGGAAGTAAACTCGCATCGGTTCGCATACAGCCATGAGACGGGACAATCTGATTGGGCGAGATGGCTCAAGTGGTTAGAGCGCGAATTTACTGACCGGAAGGTCCGTGGTTCGAACCCAACATCTGGCTCTCGACTTACCCTGTCTGGGCTTGGGCAACCAGCCCTCGTGCCTGCTTCGGGTGGCAGCTAGACACCGAAAGGGTGTTACAGCTGATCGATTATCTATTAGTTTGATTACAATGTGATTGACATGTGTTAACTATGGGAAACACAATCGACAATGACAAATTCGAAGCAGTTTGTATAAAACGCTAGTATCCTCAAATTTTTGAGAGTTAATTGTGATGTGAAAAGAATTGTCAGTGTTCAAATGAGATTTCGTTGGCTAATCTATACTGAAAAGCCTAGAAGCACTGTACAGCTGTTTCATCCTTATTGGGAATCGTCAGCAGTGCGCACCTCACGAAACTTCAGTCGAGAGTCTCGAACCCGCGACCGGACTGGGTGAACACCTAATCGTTTAACCACGTGCGGCTGACTAATTCGCACTTGGACAGCATCGGTAATCCTTCAGTCAATGTCACTGGTTCTTCGAGTGGCAACTTCACAGATGGAAGTTCCCTTGCGAAAGCATCCTTTCGCCAAGCTACTTATAACTTGTTGGTAGTATGGAGAAATATGGAAATTTTCGACGTTGATGAGCCATAGTAACGCAGGGCGTCACGTGAAGAAACTTGTCGTGCCGGTCAGTATCCACTTGAACCTCGAGAGCACAAGAAAAACACTCTGGCCCGCCAAGTCGCACGTTCCTCACCCCCCAGTTTACATCTTCTAGCTGGATGACATGCGTATCACACAACCGAGGAATCAAGATAACAGAGAGTGCTGGACAGATGAGTCCGGAAAAAGCGAAAACTGAGTATTTCGCGCGGTGTTAAGCTGCAGAAACAAATTTGTTCTATGAGGACAGTTCAGTGGCGGGCGTTGTCCATTGGCGATTCGGAGAATAGGCTAGAGATCACCCCGGGAAACCGTTGCGCAATAAAAACCAAACAACTAAGCTGGCTACTGACCAATTCGGCCAGCCGATGTCGCAACCAAGGGGAAAGTGAAACAGATGAAAATAACTAAAAAAAAACATGTTGATCTTGTTGAAAGCCATTGTTTGGTGGGGGATCACAAGCCCTGAAAACTACCCAAATTAGCAACCCTTAAAAGCTCCAATTTGAACATGTGACCAAACGTAGCACTCTCCTTGGCACAGTACAAAAGGTTTTTTTACTTCCATTTCAATAAGACGAGATAAAAGCAAGGTTCCCTTACCAATGCATTACCGATCGGTCATTTTCCCAACTTTCAGACCACGTGACACTCAACTGTCTAGCTGACGCTGAGCCTGTTCAGTCACGTGAGCAGAGAATACAGCTGGAGCACGGTTCCAACATAACCCATACAAGCACGTGCGCGAAAATTCTCAATTCTGTCTGCCTGCGGACCGACTTGATTTCAAGTGTTCAGTATACCGGGTGACCGTGTCTATCTGAGACGCCGAAATTTGAGGTGCGTAAGCCGCGGCAAGATGAGAAATGGTTCTCGTAGCAGAGAGTTGAAGACGGGAATATCCTAGTTCCCCGAACAGGTCCATTCGGATAGCAGGCCGCTACGCAGACTGATCACGCTGCGTGATCAGTCACGTGGATCGATTACATGTACGCAAAACTGATGAATGGGTGTGGCACTCAAATTGATCAACGCGCGATTCTACAATATATGCGGTTCGAACCTAACCCGGGCATCTGAACTTCTCTTGTCAAGGCTTGGGTAACCGGGCAACAATATATCTCGGCCCATGTGCTTGTGGCAATTGACAGTGGCCAACACCAGCCCAACGAACAACGATGATCACAAGCAATTCAGTGGATAAACCAAGCCGCGTGATTAGAACCAAACCATTTGGTTAGATGGCGGGTTAAACAAAACATTGCAAGGAACACCAAACAAAAGCATATCGGGTTCTCGCAGGAAACGACAAAAACACATTGAAACGTTTTTCACACACCACCCGTTCTTAGTGGGAGTTAGAACTAAGCAATACATGTAATGAGTACACCGATGCGGGGGGGGATTCTCCTCAAAGAAGAACGTCCACGTTCATGATAAAATCCGATTGTCTCGCTAGAGAAACAACGTCATGTATGTCCTAGACTCGTTAAATCCGAACTGCACCAGAGGAGGAAAGGTTGTGGGATAGAAAGGAAAAAACCCACAAGCGCAGGAAATCACAAACGGTGCAAGGTGGGTGAATATGGTGCCGAGTCAACCAAGAAAGAAAAACGAACGTGCACGCACTCGATTTGGTTGGTCACCCTGTCGCTCAGAATAGAACTACGCAATGTAAACGGAGAAGCCTGATGATGGAGGCCCGCCGACGGTGGTGAACTTCAGTTTCGTTTTTTCTGTTCGTTTTCACTAAGACGTCCGGTAGCTTAATCTGTTTCGACTGCCTGCAGATCAGACAGGAAATATGCTGCTCCAAGCGAGCGTGAGATGGCCCACATTTTAAACCCCGCTTGCACGACCATTTCTCAAGGTAACGAACCATCCTAGGGCCAAACAAAATCCGGAATCGTTGATCGAAGCGATTCCGAAAAATTCAACAAGATAATGGTATGGTTAATAAGTCCAGAACATCTAAACGCTGTAGACAGAATGTACAAGGGAGGGCGAGATGGCCCAAGTGGTTAGAGCGTGCGGATTTACTGACCGGAAGGTCCGTGGTCCGAACCCGACCTCTGCCCCATCTCGACTTCCCCTGTCTAGGCTTGGGCAACCTGACAGTATCCCAGCCCTCGTGCAACCTTCGGGTGGCATGGCAGCTAGGCACCGAAATGGCGCACTGAGGGCTGAACGATTACAAGAGAATCGAGCTGGGAGTTCAAAATGTCGTACGGTTCAGGTCATCGTCAGAAACACACGGGAGAGTAATGAAAGACCAGTACAAGTTCGTAGAGTCTCTTTTGAAGTGGGTTGCGACTAATTCAACTGGGATCCGCAGCCGAATTCTCACAAACTGTGACCGACTGTCAGGCATCCGGTTAATGACGCGGCCTGGATGACAATTTGTATCCACCGCTAGGATAATCGGAATCCGGTTGGGCAATCCTTTCTAGTGAGTTGACTGCTGAATAGAAGGTGAGACACGATCACGGGATGCCTGTCAATTACAGTGAAGCAACCAATTGGAGAATGGACAAAACCTTGGGGATATTCAATACATATTTGGGGGCGGAGGTCCGATGTTCAAGAACCAATGCGGTATCAAGCGAGGTAGAGAGACGGAGGGGGGAGGGGACAAAACAGCACAACTGAATTACTCACAGTCTCAATGTCTGCTCCGTGTGTATCTGGGCTAGAGCATAGATGGTACCGTGCGACATGGAGGCAAACATCCAAGGGGCCCTAGGATGGCATGCAAGTTGTCAGAGTCCACAGAGAGAACAAGGTTGGAGAGTTGGGGGCACGCGAAACCGTTCAAATTACAAAATATTCAAAAAAGAACCACTGAATCTAATTAGTCAATGACGTTGCCGACGACAGGATACCTACAATCCATAGTACTGACCGCAGTAGCATCGCCAATACAGAGGATGTGCTCTCAAAGATGTCACGGGATTTCGAGGACTTCAATCAAGCAAGTGAACGAACTCGTAGTCATTTTTGTACTCAGACCGAGGGAGAATAAGTGTGAAGGATTTTCACAAACGTTTTGACAGAGGATTTAAGTGAGCACCATTCAAACGAAAAAGTTGGCGTCCTTGAGAAGATCTCACGTTAACTGTGTCATATATTCGCATTGGGTCGCTGTGCATCATGAGAAACTTTAAGAGTTTAATTTATCATTATTTATTTACTTATTTAGAGTAACCTGGAATATCAGATGATGAGCATTGACGATCGTCACAAACCACCATGGTTGGATGGATAGCCTAGCCCAGCAACCAGATTCATTTTCAAGATACTCCGGTGATCCGGCAATCTGGTACACCTTGTCACTTTAGCCCGCCAGAACTCTGAATTATCTCTGCATCAGGGTGAGGAGAGTGCTGTTTTCCATGCCTAACTCAGAGTGGCGTAAACAGAGAGGTGGCCAACCACTGACATGGCAGAGGAGTATGAAGGAGATCACGAGTGCTGTCGGTGCTACTCGCCTTCCAGGAAGGGGACCGCGTGATCCTCACTGTGCCTGGTTGGAGACACTACAAGACATGGCTGCCAACCGATGTCAGTGACGTTCCTGCTGTCAGTTTCTACCCAGACTGCCTGAGTGAATGATTGTCTCGGAATGACTGTGGTAAGCTAGCACTAAGTCCCTTTTCCGTACATCTTTATTCTCTTCTTCTCAATAAGGCTTTCAAATAAATAATGGTTGCACGGCAATGAAGCATCGGTGTTGAACACTAATGTCATGCTGTCGATGATGATGATGATTCGGTGGAGGGATAGTGTCGGCTTCAGAATCGTCTCTTCAAATGAACTTTTTCGACGTAGTATACACGACACCACAAACGATTGCGTAGAATCACTCGAGATCTCAATCTTGCAATTTCCAGATGTGTATCACTCGCCGCCGTTCCAGGGGATCTGGAGGTAAGTTGGCTGACGTGCCCTTTCTCTGTTTATTACACATAGTATCCGGTAAGGTCAGATTCCTGAAAATAATTTCAGAATGTCCTACTGAGAACCTCGAACACCGCCAAAATCGCAGGAGGGAAGCCGTCAAACATCCAGGTTAGAAAAGCCAGCTGACAACTAGACGCTCAAGCAGTCAATCATTTCAGCAACAACTGACGACGATGTTCAGGCATTTCATAGAAGCACGGATGACGACGAAGGTGATTCACCCAACGCCGATCGAGATCCAATGTGCGCTTTGAGTACCGCGATGCCACTTGCCTAACTGTT